ACACATTATAATTAAGTGAAATTAAGCAGACTCACGGAGATGGTTCTAACATGATGGATAAAGGGGAAAACCCTATATACAAGCATCTCCTCTGGCAGGTGTTATGCATAAAACCTTAAGCACAAAAACAATAATTACTGAAATCTGGAAGTTTACTGACTGAGCCCAACTGTTTCCGAATATAATTTCAGGTGTTCTAAATCAGCAAATGGTTGTAAAATGGTTGTAAATTTTGTATCACTATAAAAAGTTTACAGCCATCAGTCTCTCCTGGAGACACCTGTAACCCATTCTGCCATGGCCACTTGTGGAAAGCTCAGCTGTAGAGATCTGTAAAAGGCAGAATGGGAGAGGGGGGTGCCTTGGTGGCTCAGATGGTTGAGCGTCTGCCTTCAGCTCGGGTCATGATCCCAGGGTCCTGGGATCGAGCCCCGCATCAGGCTCCCTGCTCCTCGGGAAGCCTCCTTCTCCCCCTCCCTCTGCCACTCCCCTTGCTTGTGTTCCCTCTCTCGCTGTGTCTCTGTCAAATAAATAAATAAAATCTTAAAAAAAAAAAAAGGCAGAATGGGATGAAATGGTAAAATGTGTATTACAAATAATACCTGATGATTCTCGAGTTTTCTAGGAAGGCTTATGGCATAGTAGGACTCAAGATGAACCTTAGGGGTGTGTAGAGTTTGAATAGATGGAAAAAAAGAGAGCACTTCGAGTAAACCAGACAGAATTAGCAACATCCTGAGGGAAATAGAAAAGCAAGATAGAGTTCTGTTAACAATGGATGAGCAAGTGCCAACCTTCAGATATATAATCTGGAAGGATTGGAAGGATGCCAGAGTAGACTACGTGTTGGAAATTTGTGTTGGTAAGTACTAGCAGAAAATTTCTAATTTAAAATTGTGTGTAAATCGTAGAGAACCTTGAAAGTCAGGATGGATATGATTGCCATTTTTGAGCAGGGCTCTCTGACCTATTAACAGCAGCATAGAAGATAGATCTGGGCACACTCAGAATAGACCAGGGAATGACCTGAGACAGGGATACCGGTTAGGAGGCTGCACAGTAGGTGATGAGGGGCTGAACCAGAATAAAAGGAGTAGAAATAGAGAGGAAGGGATGAATTGGAGACACATTTCAAAGGAAATATCCATGGGATTTCGTGAGATTCAAGAGATTGAAGAGAATGGATGGCCCCAGGCTTTGAGGCCAAACGACTGAGAAAATAGTGCCATGATGTTCAGACACAAATTTGGGAAGGGGACTTAGTTGGGAGATGGAGAATAAATTGTGGTGGAGATGTGTCTTGGAGGCAGTAGGAAGTGAAAAACAAAAGCACGGGTGAGAGGTCAGGGGATGGAAGAACAAGTATAATCAACACCGGATTGGATGAAGCTAGGAGAGGATGTGAGCTCTCCAAAAAGAGTGACAGAAAGACATAAGCTCAGAATGCTGAAGACTGAGCTTTGGGAAGATTGCAAACTCATGTTTAACACGAGGAAAGAGGAAAAAAGTTACAGTGACAGGAGGAGTGCGAAGGAAAATAGAAAAAGAAGAATGGTATCTGCCATCAAAGGAAGAGAAAGCCTCAAGAAGGAAAGGACACTCATGTTTAACGGGGCACCTCCCGCATCAGACTGTGTGTGTGTTCAAATCCTGCCTCTGTCACTTATGGGCTATGTGTCATTTCAAAAGTTTTATTCTCTCTCTCAGTTTCATCATCTCTAAAATGGTGATAATAAAGACTACCTCATAGGGATATTTTGAGAATTAAGTGAGAAAATGTATCCAGAATACTTAACATAGTATCTGGCACAGGCCAGAAGTTAATAGATGTAACTGATGACTTTTAACGGAAAAATGGGGTGGTGAGAGAGCAGAAAGAATTGCAAGAGGTTAAAGAAGGACTGATCATGGAGAAAAAGAGATTGGCCAAAAATGGAGAGAGATCACAGAATGTTCTTAGAAGAGGCACGGGGTAAAGGCTTTGCTTAAATCTGCTCTGTACTGACCAAGGGTTATCATTGTTATTGTTATCCCGGAAGCCTAGTTAATTAGGGTTGGGCCATCTTTTCATTTATGTAAGGCCATTTAACCTTTAGAATAGAAATAAAACAATTGCATAACTAAAAGATCCTGTCAAAATATATACAAATAGTCTAAGGTGCAGCTTCTTTGAAAGAACAGTCTGGCACTGCCTCAAAAAGTCAAAAATAGAATTACCATCTGATCCAGCAATCCCACTTCTGGGTATATGCCCAAAAGAATTGAAAGCAGGGACTTGAAAAGATATTCGTATACCCAGTTCATAGCAGCATTATTCACAATAGCCAAAAGACAAAAAAAAAAAAACAAAAAAAACCCCAAATGCTCAACAACAGATGAATGTGGTATATATATATACAATGGAATATTATTTAGCTTTAAAAGGGGAAGAAAATCAGACGCACTCTACAATGTGGGTGAATCTTGAGGACATTATATTAAGTGAAATAAGCCAGATACAAAAGAGCAAATACTATGTAATTCTACTTATATGAAGTACCTAGAGTAGTCAAATTCATAAATACAGAAAGCAGAATGGTGGTTGCCAGGAGCTCACGGAGGGGGAAATGGAGAATTATTGTTAAATTGGTACACAGTTTCAGTTTGAGAAGATGAAAAAGTCCTAGAGATGGTTGGTGGTGATGGGCGCCCAACAATGAGAATGCATTTAATGCTTCTGAACCATACCACTTAAAGGTGGTTACAATGGTAAATTTTGTCATGTGTATTTAACCACAATTATATATATATATATATTTCCCGACAGTATGAGCAAAAATATGAGCCCTTTGCTAGATAAAATGGATTGAAAAGTTCCCAGAAACAATCAATTTGTAATGGTAACTTTTAAATGGTGAAATACTTCATACCTAGAAAATAAAATGCATAGGGGAACCTGGGTGGCTCAGTCAGTTACGTGTCTGACTCTTGATTTCGGCTCAGGTCACGATCTCAGGGTCATGGGATTGAGCCCTGCATCAAGCTCTGTCCTTAGGGGAGTCTACTTGAGATTCTCTCTCTTCCTCTCCCTCTGCCCCTCCCCCCACTTGCTCTCTAAATAAATAAATAACATGTATATGTAACCCTACACAGTATATTTCCTTTCCATCCAGCATTGCTAGATTTACCCATAGTGATGTCTGCAGCATACTCACTGAGAACTGCGCTGTGTTCTCAATGAATTGAAGCTTTTATCATTACGACCCTCCTTATCTCCTGTCTGGTATCAACATGTCTACATCAACTTTCTTTTGGTTTTATTTGCCTATTTATCCATATATCCTTTCACTTTCAGTCTTTCTGTGTCCTTAGGTCTTTTCAGATGTGCCCATAGTTGGATTTTTAAAAAATCTCGTCTGACAATTTCTACATTTTAATGGCCACGCTAAGACCATTTATTTTTATTGTGATTACTAATATACATGGATTCCTTTCTATCATGTTGTTCATCCGCTTTTCCTATGCTCTCCCCACTCCTTTCTTGTCTTCTTGTGGGTTGATCAAGTTGTTTTGTTGTTGTTGTTGTTTTTAATTCCTTTTCTCCTTTCTACTGGTTTGCTGGTTTTATTATTTTTATAGTAATTACTTTTGAAATTTTACTACACATACTTGAATTTTTACAAAGTCTAAACTCAACCAACATCTTTGTACTCTTCTTTCTTCAAATAAAAGAACATTCAGTAAATGAGAATGGAGTACTCCCAGCCTGAGGCCCCTTTACCACCAATCTCAGGCCACTTTAGTTTCTTGTCTTGGGATTTCCCAACAAGGTCAGTGGTATAAATCTAAAACTTAGACCTAGTTCCTGGCAAGACTCGTGGGAGACCATCTAGCCCCCAAGAAGAAGCAACAATGTAGACACATTTCCCCCTGCCCCAGGCAGATATTTTTACTGTTTATATTGAGGATGTGTGAACCTTGGAGGGTCTCAGATTTGGGGGTGGGAGTAAGAGAGTCCTGCAGTTTAGTGTTCACCTTTTGTGGGCCTTTGACCTGGTCTGTTTGCAACTTGCCTGATCATTTGTCTGAAAGGGTCAAGTTCCTGGCATCTACATTTGCCCCTTACTTTCTTCATTTGCTTACCAGTCTGGTTTCTGCTTTACTCGATTTATTTGGCATTTTTAAGGATTTCCCTCACTTCCTTCCAAGTTCGGCAAGGCATTCTAATCTAAAGGATGTGTTTGCCGGGATTTGTCTAACATGTAGGTGTTTTGAAGATGGGGGGCTTTTTGGATTATCTAGTCTCTTTTTTTCTACTAACAGCAGACAAAATCTTTTAATCTGCTGTTTGTATACCATCTATGGATTTTTATGTTTTCTTTCAATTTGTCCTGGAACTTTTTGAATGAAATATACAAGTTTTCTCTTTTACAATTAAAAAAGATAAAAACATGCAGATGTAAGGAGAGATATTCACCAAACGGCTGTTTAATGATCATTTTTATTTGGAAATAACCTAATATCAAATAATAGAGGATTCACAGAGTAAATTTTGCTACAACTTACTCTGCCATAAGAAGTGTGTGTGTGTGTGTGTGTGTGTGTGTAACATGGAAGATACTCATGACCCCGTTTCTATTTATACAAGCACATATATATTTACATTGAAAAAATTCTGGAAGGAGACATCCAATATTTGGGGGGTGACATCATTAAGGAATATTTTTGCTTACTTCTTGCTGATCTCTACTATTTAAATGAAGAACTATTGTGTGGTTTTTATATAAAGGGCGTAATTATTTACAAGAACAAAAAGCAACGATTAGTAACCCATTCTCTAACTTTGGAATTGTGTTAACAATAGAATGCGTACACCTTGCGAGGTAGTGAACTGCCCGGTATGGAGAGTGTCAAACAGAGGCTGGGTGGCCTCCGGTCGAGGATTCCTGTCGTTTTATGATTCAAAGATTCCCAGTTTATTTATTTATTTATTTATTTATTTATCTTTCCCCTGCCATTAGGTCGACCAATCAATGCCTCAGACAGATAAGCAAATATGCATCCCCCCGGAGCTGCCGGAATTGCTGAAGCAATTCACCAAAGCCGCCATTCGGACCCAGCCGCAGGATCTCATCCAGTGGGCGGCGGAGTAAGTACCCTTCACCTCATCCCCAGGTTCCCGTTGGAGGTGGAGGCGGGGCGTGGAGGAGGGGAGGTCCTCGCGAAAACCGAGGAGGTTGTCATGGCTGCAGCCTGGGAGTCGGGACTGATTAGCATCAGCTTTGTTGTATTCAGCTCTCGAATTGCTTTGGTGCTTTAAAATCCATACATAAATACATCACACTGGGTGAGGGTGGGTGAGAGTGGGTGAGGGTGGGTCGCCCTTCCCGAAGCGACCCAGACTGAGCGATAGGACGCCAGAGCAATCGGCCGAGTGTCCTGGGGCGCTCAGCAGGAGTTAGAGTCCCACAACCCGGCGGCACACGCACCTGGTGCGGTCCCTGCACGCCCTCCCCGGTCCCCGCGGAAAGAAGCGCTGGGAGCCCCTCGGCAGCCCCGCCTGCCTTCCCTGGTCCGAACCGGGGCCTGGTCTCCGGCCTCACCACTAGAGGGCAGCAGCGCGCCTCGGGGAGGGGGCGCCGAGGCCGCAGGTTGGCCGGTGCGCGCTCAGTCCCAGCTGGCTCTCCTCTGCGGTTGGGACACCTTCCTCCTTTTTGGGACACCTTCCTCCACTGCCGATCAAGCTCATTCTTGCCCCAACCAGAGACGTACTGTAGCTTGTCTTTGGGCAAATTGTTATTTAGTGTTTTTTGAACTCATTTGCTCCCTCAACATGTAGACGTCCACGCAGTGCACATTGCACTCTGGAGAGAGAGGAGGCAACACTGAGTGCTGAGGGCAGGAGGAGCGCGGGCCGGGCTGCAAACACTGTGGCTCAAACTCAGGTGCCCCCTTTCAGGAGCGACCTCCAGAGGCTGTTCAGTGAACGAGCTTACCCAGCGAGGGCTCGCTGCTGGCCCGGCATGAAACAGCTTTGCACGGAAAGCCTCGCAGCTATGAAATTGTTTCTTAGGCACACATGCCCGCTTGAAACTGGGGATCTGGGGCTTGAGGCAGCAGCTGGGAACCATACCTCCCGGATCATTTTCAGGCTAGTTTTACTGCTTAATGATGACCTCCTTAGTAGCTTTCAGCGGGAGAAGGGGAGTCAGAGATGCAGTTGAGCCTAGCTGGTGGGCGGGAGGAAGGGAGAATGTCTTCAGCAGGAGGTGTATTGAGGATGAAGCTTTTACAGATGGAAGGAAAATAAGCCAGTAGTGCTCGTAAAAAGGGACATAATGGGGTTGCTTTGCTAGTAATGAACACTGTTTAGTTTTCCAGTCTAAATTTTATATATTCTCTCCAAGACTGCACTTTGGCATCGTAAGACTAATTTCTTTTGGCATACTCAGACAGACTTTGTTTTACACTTACACAATAGTTTAACCCCCCATTTTATTATGCTGCTGTTTTATAACAAGGAAAATGACATTTCTTGCAATTGTCCCTAACATTTATGGGAGAAAACATTCCACTGTTGTAGCCTGCTTGCTCCCATTTTGTATCATGTGCTATAAATTTTTTAGATATCCGCAAAGAATCAGTTTGTAGTTTAACTACAATGTAAAAGGAGAGCATGACCCGAGAGCACTCTCCATCTATTCAGACATGAAAAGCATTTATCAGATGGTTTTATGAGACTCACAAGCCATCAGCACTTTAGAAACTCCACAAAGTATTTCCAAGACAAAATATGTGCTTAATTCATCACAAGCAAGAATTTCCCTGCATATGTGCTGTCTGTGAAGAGATCACCTCCCAGACATCAGCAGGACATAAACTTGCCCTGCGGTATGTGTGACCACACGGATTTGTAACATCCGTGAATAACCGTGGAATTGTTCATTGCAAATGAAGCTAAATAATGCACAGAGGACTAAATCCATGACTTCGACCTCATTTCCACATTCTCTCACCAACTTGGCTGAAAAATCCAAAGACATTGCTGCTGAGTATCACTCTGTACTGGGGCAGTCACTTCTGTCAAATGATGTGCTGTGTTTCTGTCTCTCCTGTTTATGCCACTCAAGTCTCTATAGCCCGCTCCTGTTGTCACCCTGCACCCACACCTACCCCAACCCTGGTCTGTCTGTGGAAATTGCTCACGCGCATGATAAAAGGTATCCAGACTGTATTTCTTCTGCCCTCCCTGCTGCTGGCCTCCAAGGGGTACCTGGAAAGCGTTGTTTTGTCCTTGTAGCTTTAGCTCTGCATTGCTCTGTGGCCCAGAGACAGGCAGTGGTTTATCCCCATTATTGTATGGCTTGACCCTAATATGGGCTTCTACAAAATTCCCTCTGTTATTCTTTTTATACTACCTGGATCTGGAGAAAAATAATGAAAAAAAATGCATTCATGAAAACTAAAGCAGAGAGGGGCAGAGCATGTGATCCAGGGACTGTTAATAACAAGGCTTTTGATGGAGACAGACCCTTCCAGATAGCATTGGTGACCCATGTGTCAACTCCTATGTCCATTCCCTGCTACAGGCAGCCCTTTTTATCTTTTTTAAAAAAGATTTATTTATTTGAGAGGGGGTGGGGGGAAGGGCAGAGGGAGAGGATATCCAAGCAGACTCCTGCCGACCGAGGAGCCCAACACCGGGCTCAATTCCAAGAGCCATGAGATCAGGACTTGAGCCGAATCCAAGAGTCGGATGCTTAACCAGCGGAGCCCCAGGTGCCCCAGCCCTTTTTATCTAATACCAATCCTGAAACAAGACTCGGTATTTTTTCCACATTGTACTCAGAGTCCACTCCACGAAGCGTCAGTGAGCAGGCAGATTTTATTAAAATTTTTGAGGAAAGATTGAGAAGAGTTTTACTTCATACACCCCACATAAGATCATCTCAACCCTTCCGTGGCTTGTCTTCTCACCTGAGCCTCCCTCAGTGCCCTGCCAACCTTCTCTCTCTTCCCCCTTGAAGCCCAAGCCTCATGACCTCCAGCTGGAAACCTTTCCTAGCTCACCCCAAGAGCAACCCCCTCCTCCCCTTTCTTGTACATGTCACTTTAGTGCTCTTCCAAATTTTTTCCAAGATTGCATATTACATATTACCAAGATTACATATTACCCACTTTCTAGATTACCCACTACCAAGATTATATATTACATATTACTCACTACCTAATAATCAACTTTAAGCATGTCAATAGCCATGTTACTGAAAATAAAGATTTTATGATTGAAAAATAGTTCCTCTAGGTACCAGGATTCTTCTTCCATAAAGGAAAGTGGGGGATTTAAAATAACAATGATATTTTTCTAACTCCTATTATATATATATATATAATGCATATAATATATAATCTATGTATATGTATATTTACGTATATGTATGTACATATTATATATTATATAATAATATGTATTTTATATAATATGATAGAAACACAAATTACTGCTATATTATGTATTACATATGTATTATGTGCATATATATTATATGTCATATATATTATCTTCTATATAATGTATAATACATACATATTCTATACCTCCTATTATATGTATGTATATGTGTATGTATATGTGTGTCTGTACACACACGTGTGTATATAAAACACTTAGGGGAGGAGTGACTGGGAAAAAAATCTCAGGGAATTCCATACCAAAATTTTTATTGATTATTCCTCATCCTTAGAGACAAACAAATCTTTTTACTCCCTAAGTGTTCTTTATACCTTGAATGGCAGGTAACACATTCAGACTTTTCCTGTACATAAATGAACTAAACAAAATGTCTGGCATATAGAAGCCCCTAACAAATGTTCTTTCCTCCATCCCCTTCCCTCAAGAAAAAGGGGCAGGGGTTCTCAAAGCAGCCAGAGGCCACTGGAGTGTAGGATGTTCTCCCCACCCCCTAACTTTTTTTCTTGTAGTTATTTCGGGGCTATGTCCCGTGGAGAGATTCCTCCAGTGAGAGAGCGGTCTGAGCGAGTGGCTTTGTCTAACTGGGCAGAGCTTACACCTGAGCTGTTGAAGATCCTGCATTCTCGGGTAAGGGCTCTATCACAGCATCAAGGGGGAGGTTGGGGCAATGCCGAGGCCAGGTGGCTACAGACAAAAGCCCACCACATCCCCCGGCCAGCTAGCTGGCCACTCGGTATCATAAAATCCACTAAACCATGCATTGAAAGCAAATCTTCTCTTGGAGCAATAGGAATGATACTGAAATAGGCTATAAGTGGAGTTATTAGTGGGGTCATCCCAGATTTCCCTGAAGCTGGCAGAATGTCCAGGGGATCAATTCAATACTAATCCCTTCTCCCCAGAAAAGCACAGATCTACAGTCCTTTGACTGTGTCTCCCTTGTTGATCAAGACCATAATATGATGCCAATCACAGTTTGCCAATTTAGTTCCCCAGTTAAACCAGGTGCAAACATAGCCTAGCTTTTAGGGAAACTCCTGGCTCTCTTCCCTGCCACATCACTCTGGGAGCTTTCCAGTGAATGGATGAGGAAGGTCTGACTTGAGAAAGCTGTAGTTTGGCCAGTTCCCAGGAAGTATGGTTTAGCATCACCATACTCCGCTTTAAAAACCAGGACAGAGGTCTTTGGGGTGTTTGAGGACTGACAGCCAACTACCTTGCTCCCAGAGGCTTGGCGTTTCATTAGAATCAGAGGGCCAGGGATGGTGCATGCTTCATGGGTGCATAGCCTTACCACATTGTTGGCCAACAACTACCCATTTGTTCCCTTTCTCCTCTTAACCACCAAGCACCTTATGCAACAGACATGGAAGAGATCTGAGATACCTGGGACCAAGCAATATTAGGCATCCAGACCACAGATCCTATATTATTCTTGGAAAAGCATGAGGAGTGTATGTGAAGTTTAGTGCAAAGAACTCCATAGAACCTAGAAGCAAGAGACTTAACATCTAGTTCTAATTTCACCACTAATTAGGGGTCTCAGACAAGTCCTCTGCCCCTTGGTTACATTTTCAGGTTGCCCTATCTGCGTTATAGGGCAACCTAGGGATAAAACAGCGACAATAAAAGCATCAGAAAAAAAAAATTAAAATGTAATATAAAGATATTATTTCCCTATAATTTTGACATCTAGAGTTAAAATGATTGAATTATACCTCAGCGTGCTTAACACTACCCTGAATATTTCTCTACCCTTGCAGAGAGAACCGCCAGAGTCCTCCCCTGATCCCCCTCCGCCATCAGACCCCTTGCGGTGTGCTGGGTGAACGCAGGCCTTGCTGGGCAGTGTCTCTCGGGGCATTCTCTCATTCTGTCCCTCCCTGTCTGTCGTCTGTCCCCTGGCCTGCAGGTTGCTGGCAGACTGATTATCCATGCAGATGAGCTGGCCCAGATGTGGAAGGTGCTGAGTCTCCCAACAGATCTGTTTAACAGTGTGATGAATGTGGGCCACTTCACGGAGGAGATTGAGTGGCTGAAGTTTTTAGCTCTTGCTTGCAGTTCTCTTGGAGTTGTGAGTGAACTTTACTGCTTTTTGTTCCTTACAGGAAAAGCTCTGTCTGGGCCTGGAAGAGTAGTACCTCTGTACACACAGTCCATCTCCTGGGCTGAGGACGAGCATGCCCGTCTTGTCTACTTCCCTTCCTCTCTGAATTAGGTCATTCCTCTGCTCCTCAGCCAGAAGCAGGGGGGAGGAGGAGAGAGGGGGAAACTGTCATCAGACCCTGGGGAGAATTTACTAGAATGTGGCTTCTGGATTATTTATGAATTTCAATCATTGCCCTCAGATTTATTTCCATCACCATTCCACTCATATTCCTAAAGATACCCAAGAGCCAGCTGCAGGAGATTTGCTTATACTTGGGTTCCAGACACCTAGAAGGTAGACCAATGGAGCCTTTAAAAGAGGTGCAGCCTTACAGAAAACTACTATTTGATAAGCATAATTGGATACAAAAATCAGAGATGAGAGAGCAGGAAAGGAGAAATGAGGCTATTTCCAGACTTACAGTTACGACATCATCATGGCTGTAGGATGCTCATACAAATTCATGCCTTTTCTAAATTTGACTTGATTTACAATTGGAAAAGGAATGTTTCTGTTTTAAAGAAAAAGATACTGCACCCAGTTCATATAAAAGCTTTAGGTATCATCTTACATATGGACTCACTCTTACTGAGCACCGTTATAATAGATTAAATGAAAATGAATCAGAAACATGGTTTTTTTAAAATCCCGGAATATGCGCAAGTTTGAAAGTTAATGAGAAAATTATTGCCTCTGCCAAAAGCAAATGGTACACGAAGATAGTTTGAATCAGTCAACAAATCTAAACACCATCTTTTTCTTTCTTCTTGAATACGTGTGGATGCATATCTGACATTTTGTTTCTGACAAAAGTTATGAGAAATATTACCTAGTTCAACTTTTCCTATGGGCTTCCCCTGCAACTTTCATTATAACCATTTCTTTAGAGACAAGGAGAGGAGAGGCCATTCATGGTTTTTTGTCTTCATTGTCCTGTATAGTAATATGATGTAATGAATAAATTGCTCTCCTCCAAAGAGGAGAGGAAAATGCAGCCTGGGCAGATGTTTTGTCTACTAGCACTACCACACTTCTGTGGAAATAGCCCCAAAGATTGAGGGAGGTCCAGGAGGAAAAATTAAAAATGGACACATTTTCTTAAATTCTCATAGGGTCACAAATTTACTCACACTACACGCAGAGATGGCTGGGGTGGGGAGGTGGGAACGTACTTTATCTGGAGTTAATTCTGATCTTCCTGATTGATCTACCCTACCCACAGCGGGTTGAGTAGGAAAATAAGTAGATTCAATTCAATCTAGGAATTTTAGTCTGATGCAGTACCAGAAACAGCTTTGAGGTAAATGCCCAGTCTCTCAGAGTTTTCCACATGACTCCACTCTTCAAGATGGCAGCGGAGTGTGTAAGAGGGAAATGGTGACTCCAGAACCACAGAGCCATCAAGCAAAGGGTTTCCCACATCTCTTGGTCCTTGGAAATGCATGGGAATAAATATTGTCTGTGTGGTCCCAGCTGCTTGCAGCCTAAGTCCTGGGTCTCTTCTCTCTCACAGCACGGTGTCCATGCCCAACCCCCCACCCCCCGGCTGCCAGCTCATCGCCATTCTGGCAGGTTCTGAGGGCCTCCCTGAACCCTTTCAGGTTGCCCTCATCTGCTCCCTTGCTCCAGTCGTCTCCTGCACAAACCCTCACCACCTTGTGAGATGTGTGAGTCCTCTCCTTGTCCATATACCTCACAGTAACAAAAAGTGACTACGGAATACTAAATTCCACTCCTCCCTCTGCTGAGCTCACAGGGCAGCTGCTAGGTTTACTTTGGTATGTCTGCCTCCCCCACTGGGGAGGGGAGACCATGAGGTGAATTGCATCTTTCTACCTCCCTTCCAAAATGAGGAGGTTGGATTAGATGTTTCATAAAGTTCTTTCATCTCTAACATTCTGTGATTCTATTCTGCCTTCTCTACTTCCACTGAGACACCCTCAGGTCTGCTTTGGATAACAGTGAGGTCCTGAGGTATCTGACTGTGCCCCTCATCATCCCAACATCATAGAACACCCAGAGGTGAAGTCAGCCTGAAGGGCTAATCTGTAAATAAAGGATGCCCTGTGAATCCAGGAACCAGGCCCATTATACCCATCTGTTTCATGTTGGACTATTGCTGGGAACTTCATGTGGAGGTATGAGGGTGTCAACATCTGGTGGAGGCTTTGCAGTCTAGTTAAACCATATATCCTTAGAGCGCCTGGGTGGCTCAGTCGGTTAAGCATCTGTCTTCGGCTCGGGTCGTGGTCCCAGGGTCCTGGGATTGAGCCCCACATTGGGCTCCCTGCTCAGCGGGGAGCCTGCTTCTCCCTCTCCCTCTGCTGCTCCCCTTGCTCGTGCTCTCTCTCTCTCTCAAATAAATGAATAAAATCTTTTTAAAAACCCCATATATCCTTAGAGGCAAGCCCAGGAATTTCTCCTTCCTTTGCCAATTCACCAGCCAGCCATGATCTCCGTGCCATTTAGAAAAACCAGTTCCCTCCTTTCGTCAAATGGCAGGGACTTTCTTGAGCTCTCCCAGTCTACACCCAGGATTCAAAAGACTGTGGCATGCAGACCTGGATTCCTCTTCCCTCTCAGCACTCCTTCCTCTAGACTAGCTTATATTCCCTCCTGCTCCCCTGGGACTGATTATAGAAAAGGAAGATTGTGTTCACTGGAAGGAAGGACATGTATTTTAGCAAATAAGTCACTTTCTGAGCCTTTCACCTCTGGGTTTGTGAGTCTCAGAAGATGCTTACAGGCTCTCTTTATCAAGTGGATCCCCATCTGACCAAAAAATCTTGTGCAACTAAATGCAGATCCTTGTTTACTTTAGATTTATTTAAGTTTTCCAAAAAGCTCTAGTCCAGAGAATTCTTTATCCAGTCTTCCATGTATAAAATATTTTAAAATATTTTTTTAAAGATTTATTTATTGAGAGAGAGAGAATGAGAGACAGAGAGCATGAGAGGGAGGAGGGTCAGAGGGAGAAGCAGACTCCCCACCGAGCAGGGAGCCCGATGCGGGACTCGATCCCGGGACTCGATCCCGGGACTCCAGGATCATGACCTGAGTCGAAGGCAGTCGCTTAACCAACTGAGCCACCCAGGCGCCCAATATTTTAAAGTATTTTAAAATTTTATGAGGATGATAGAACTTAAAGGTTTGTGTTTGAATGATTAACAAAAGATACTGTTTAGAGTAGAAAGCACCTGTATTACCTTGTAGGGCTGCCGGAACAAAGTACCCCAGACTGGATGGCTTAAACAACAGAAATTTATTTTCCCACAGTCCTGGAGGCTGGAAGTCTGAGATTAAGGTGTCTGAGGCCATTGCCCTTGGCTTGTAAATGGCCATTGTCTCCTTGTTTCTGTCTTTTTTTTTTAAGAATTATTTATTTATTTGAGAAAGAGTGTGAGTGAGTGTGGGGAGGGGTAGAGGGAGAGAGAGAGAGAAACTTTAGGAGACTCTTTGCTGAGCTCTGAGCTCAATAGGGGGCTTGAGCACAAGACCTTGAGATCATGACCTGAGCAGAAACCAGGAGTCAGACACTTAACCGACTGAGCCACCCAGGCGCCCCTCCTTGTTTCTTCACATGGCTGTCCCTCTGGGGATGTATGTATCTGGTGTCTCTACATCCTAATCTCCTCTTCTTACAAGGACAGCAGTCCTATTGGTTTAGGGCCCACTCTAATGACTTAAAACTTCATTACCTCTTCAATGGCCCTATCTTCAAATATAATCACATTCTGAGGTACTGGGGGCTAGGGCTTCGGCATATGAATTTTGGGTGAACACAGTTCAGCCCTGAACAGCACCCCAATCTGGATGAGCCTGCAGGAAGAGAACAGCAGAGCAAAGGCAGTAGGGGATTTTGTTAAGAAAGGGAGCAGAGAGGATGAGCTGTGAGTGGAGATGACAGAGTTCATTGCACACATGCGTGCAGATCTCCCCAAACCCCCTGTCACGCTGACCTCACGTCACGCTCGTGCCCCTCCATCACCCTCCTCCCTGGAAGCGCCCAGCACATGGGCACAGTGCTACACAGCAGTTTACATGTGAGGACTCCCAAGGGCAGGCGAGGGTCAATGAAAGGGGCCCGCTGCAAGCCCCAAATCTCTTTGAAATACTGTGGTTCACCATTTTAAAATTCACGTACACTGAGGATTCCATCTCATAAAGTAGCAATGTTTATCAGTGTAAAGAAACAAAATTTGAATACTAAATCAAGTGAAGCTAATAATGCAAACAATGTTTAAATCATTTGTCATCGGGTAAAACCGTCTCTCTAGGAAGATGGCCAAGTTGATTCAGCATCCTCCTATACCTGCTGATACATCCCCACTTACAGCCCTGGGTAACACACACCAGTTAAAGGAGCATCCTGTAGACACTCACTCTGTTCAGGGGGAGGAAGGGAACAGAAGAGCTCACAGCCACTGCAGAGGAAGAACAATGCTGGCCGGCCTTCTGGGGAGATACAGCAGCTGCCTTTTCCCTCACCCAGGCACACCCAGCTCACCCCTCAGGACTCATTTTTCACTGATCCCTGGAAGGTGTTTAAGGATAATCTGCACATCATCTGTTTTGGTCAGCTACCCTGGTAGACATGCTGACCTATGTTTGCTAATTCAGAACTAAACAATCCTGTCTTCAAATCACTTCTTCCCTTTACCCCCGTCATTTCACTTGTGAAATGTATATAAAGAATAGGTTTACATGAAAGGCACAAGTGAGTAACACCTAATTCTGAACATGATCTTTTAATGTTGAAGTTTCATTGTAAGGAGGACTTGCTCCTGTACCATAAACCTCTGGCATCCATCATCTCCTAGTTCTTCCCCAGCAACAACCAGGTGAATGTTATGTCATATAAAATACTAGGTGTTTGGATTAGATGGAGCTACATGTTTCAGAAGAACTGGTTTTAATGTTCAGCATCACTTTTCCTGTAGCTGGGATTCCTGTCTTCCCAGGGCCTGACCCTTCTCCTCCCTCCTTCCCCCTACTGTGGCATTGCTCCAAGCACCGCTGGAGCGTATGAGCTAGACTAATGACCTCAACTCTTCAGAGGTAAGATTGGAGAGCAATAAGAAGAAGAAATAATTTTAATTTTTTAGAATGTAAAATCAAATTCTCCTTTAGCGAGGTCATTCTGATGAAAGTAATAAATATCTTAAAGTATTCAGCAATTCATAAACTTAATTCCTTGAGAGTATCCCTCCAACAAAGAGAGGAAAGGAAAAAAAGAAAGACACCCAGTACATCAATATTTTTTCGATGGAATTAAATGATGTTTGGGTGTAAAAAATTCAAGCTTTCCAGAATATGACATCATTCCCACTTCATTTTATGAGAGCAATATTTTTGTTTTCTTTCTTGTATCTAAACTGATCTTAGTGGGGGTGCCTGGGTGGCTCAGTCTGTTAAGCCTCTGCCTTCTGCTCAGGTCATGATCTCGGGGTCCTGGGATCGAGCCCCACCTGTGCTCCCTGCTCAGAAGGGAGTCTGCTTCTCCCTCTCCCTCTGCCCCCCCAGCCCCCGCTCCTGTGTGTGGGCACACACGCTCTCTCTCTTTCTCTCAGATAAATAAATAAAATCTTTAAACGGATCTTAGGAATTTAGTTTGGAATAGTGACCTTCTCATTTTATCTTATGACTTTATAGACCATTGCCAAAACTCTCAAGATAGTGTGCGAAGTGTTATCATCTGACCATGACAGTGGACCTCCCCGGATCCCATTTAGCACCTTCCAGTTTCTCTACACATATATTGCCGAGGTGGATGGGGAAATCTCTGCCTCTCATGTCAGCCGAATGCTGAACTACATTGAACAGGAAGTGTAAGTAAAATGTTACCCATCAGAGGGGAAAAAATACGGGGAAAACAAACCTAGCAGGCCATGATACAATGAGGTTACTACATTATACTGCTCTGGGGACAGAAAAGTGTTGTGAAGAACAAGAACTAAGGACCCAAAAGAGAAGGGGAAAGGGCAGGGAAGAACGGTGTAGGACAGTGATGAGTTTGAAACCCTACTTCTCAGGCTGCCGCCTGAAAATACCCAGTCACAAACTCAGGGGCCGGACCCAGGCATCTGCGTCTTAGCAGGCTCTTCAGGTGACTGACTCACGCTCAGGTTCACCTAGTAGGGGAGGAGTGGAGGAGGAGAAGCAGGCTGCCAAGAGGTCAGAGAAAAAGAAGGCGATGAGGGCAGGAGCCACACAATTCATCTGGAGTGAGACAGTTAATATACTGTCTTTTTAAAGATTGATTGTTCAATGAACTAACCCCAGATATATGTTTTTCCCAAACAGAATTGGTCCTGATGGTTTAATCAAAGTCAGTGACTTTACCCAAAACCCCAGGGTTCGGCTGGAGTAAAAACACAGTTTTGGCCATTTTAAAGGAAGATAACAGAGATGATTGTGCTTCAGAATGACTGAACCCCACGTACCATCTAATGTCAGTTTTCTTGTACAACTGGTCCACACTAATAAACGATTAGGCAAACATGTGAACTCAGAAATGTGTGGAATTAAGGTGTAAAATTGTTGGAACAAAACGAGTACATTAACAGAAGATGCATATCCTTCCCACATGGACACTGAGTGAAACCAGTGCTTCTAACCAGGCTTGGATAGAAAATGTGTCTCAAGTCAAAGCCAGGCTGTCAGATTTTCACAGGTAGCATGTTAACCAGACACAGTTTTGATGTTTTGTGATTATGAAGCACAGAGAAGTATCTTCTACATAGTCAATCCATATTTTTACCAGTTTAGTTCTCCATTTGTTGGTATGATGCTAGTCACTCACTCACGCACTCACTCAGTAATATTTGTTGAGTTTAGCTATATACGAGGAATGGGATGCCAGATAAAACACAGGACACCCAGTTAAGTTTGAATTTTGGATAAGCAAATAGCTTTTCAGTATTGTTTTTGTTTTCATGCTAAACCTGGCAACCCCAGCTAGGAGCTATGCTGGCTTCTGGGCATATACAAATAAATCATATCAGAATTCTGCCCTCTGAGATAGCTCACTGTCTAACATGAAGACAAGACATAACTCAAACCACTTTTTTTTTTGAGAGAGAGCACACACAGGGGGGCGGGGGCAGAGGGAGAGGGAGAGAGAGAATCTTAAGCAGGCTCCATGCCTAGCATAGAGCCTGACCCAGGGCTCAACTTCTCAACCCTGAGATCATGACCTGAGCTTGCCCCTAACTGACTTAGCCACCAAGGCGCCCCTGAACTCAAATCATTTTAATGTGAATCTCTCTGAGAGGTACCCATAACGTGTTACAGAGATCAGTATTAAAGTGGCAATGTCAGCAGATTTTTCTGACACCATATACAGATGTAATGAGACCCTCTTGGGAATTGCCCTGCATGAGCTTAAGACCTCTGACAAGGTCACTGAAAGATTTTTCTTTCATCCAGGAAGCAGATGAGATGAACAGGCTGTGGGGTTATTGTTCTTAAGGCCAAGCGTGCCAAGGTTGCTGGATTCCTTCTCTCTATTATGCTCTTTTTTCTTGAAAGCTGTTTTTGTTTAAGAATCATGTTAGGGTGCCTTTTCCTTTATACATATCTTCCTTCGGAATTGGGGAGAAATTAATCTGTTAGCGTCTAACTCAGTAAAAGAATATTGTGAAGGGACGCCACCATAGGTCCTTTAATTTGGCCTAGAGTGAAGTACTAAACAGAGCTGAAACACATTCTACCCGCCCCAGTCATCCGGTTACACCTGCAGGGGTTGGGCAACAACCAATTCCCCCTGCTGTCTGCCATCTTAGCCAATGCAGCCTATCATTTATATCCACTCGGGCACCTTTGGCTGTTGGAAAAGGCTGCAGCCCTGCAGGCAAATCCTGGCACTGGAATTAACTGGGGCTAGAGAATGAGAGAAATCCTTCAACCTGCCCCAGTCTCTTGGTTTCTCTCTCACTGTGATCAAAGAATTCCAATATGCTCTTCCCTGGGAGTGGGGAGTGAAGGGCCATGGCACAGAGGGAACAGCCCCCCTTTGAAAGGTCCTAAAACAACAAGTTAAGGTCATAAACGTAATAGAAGCAGATGGGGCCTTTGTATGTTTGAGAAAACAGATTGAAACTAGAAACCAGACCTCAGTAGCCCTGAGCATAATCCCTCAAGAGTGAGGTTTCATTAGAAACCACAGTCATCAAAGTGAATAGTGGACCCAGATACGAAGTCACTGATGGCGCTGTGGCCACCGGATGAAACTCAGCATAACCAGGAGTGCCACCTGTTCGTCTTCTAACCCACCACGTGATGTTCACCATTTTCCTCTCCTGCCCTGGCTCACGGTGGCAAGGCTTCCTCTAAGCCACTGAGACTGATTAGCCCCAGATGCTCATGGACAGCCCCTATAGCACATCTGCCAAATTAGCCTACCTCAGAGGTCATCCCGAAGGTGAAGATCAGCTTTGGCCTCAACCTGCACCGTGCTGTATTCACAGTATTATAAAGACGGTATAAATGATCATCACCAACATGTATTAAGCACTTACTATGTGCAGTCCCTATGCACACGGTTTTACATACATTGTCTAAATTTTCTTTACAACCTGATCTTGTAAACTCAATATTATTCTACCCATTTTATAGATGAAGAAACAGCCTTAGAGAAATTAAGTTGTTCACTGCTGCTGATGAGAAGGCGTTTGAATCCAGGTCTGTCTGACTCCAAGCTTGGGCTGCCTTGTTTGCTCAATGCCTTTTTTAGTAGTTTCTTCCCAGAAACAGCCTTTAAGATAAGGATTTAAGTGCAAGTAGTTTATTTAGGAGGCAATCCCAGGAACAGTGGAAAGGCAGTAGGAAAAAGTAATATAGTGATGGAAAGAAAGCCAATAGACCATGTGTTATCAAGCCACTAATCCCTAAAGCGCAGTCATGCTGGAGGACTCCAGGAGACAGGGTAGAACACATCTAAGAATTGTCCCAACCTGAGGGATGAGGAAGCTCTTCATCAGTGGCTATGGGTCCTTCCTCACCAATTTCCTGTCATTGACTAAGGATTGTTTCCAGAGGCATTGACTTACTGGCGTTTCCAGCTTGCCTGGCTTAAGGCCTGAGATTTCTCCTTTTGCTGCAGAAAAAATGCTCTCAGGTAGAAAGTCACGGGTGTTTACAAGAAGCAGCCTTTGAAGGCATTTGCATGGGGTACCACCAACATCTGCTACAATGCCTTACAGAGAGTTTAATAAAACAAAAGTTTAGCATTTTCATCACAGTTGTTTCTTTCCTTGGGTCAGGCACAAGTCAGTAGGGGCTGCAGGGCAATAAGTGACCGACACCATGTGAGTTCAAATCACACTTGACCCTCAAACCTGGCACATTGTCCCAAACCAACAGTTTCTTCCTTATGATGAGATCATTGCAAAGGGGCTTTCTTGGTCCTTGCTGCTAATAGACCCTTGTCAGATCCATCCCATTGGCCTTCCTCTCATGACCAGAAATATTTGAATCCTAGGATGATCTCAGTTAAGCTGTTAACCTGAGACCCCTGTAAGATATGGTTTATATTTCTCCTTTAAAAAGAAAAACATTCAGGAAGCAATAAAATCAAGATTTTATAAAGAAAAAGAAATGGGTTCTTTCTTTCCTAAATTAGGCTATTTTGATTAAAGTGAAGACTGCATATACATTTAAAGCTTCAGTGGGAAATGCAAAGATTATGGCTCAATTCCATGTTCTCTGTGCTTCATGCCCTCTCTCTCTGTGATACCGTTCAATCAGGTAGTTTCTCTAACTATCCTTAGTTAACCAACATCCAAGATCGACAGGGCCCTGCAACAGAAGGAGCTGGACAATCACATGTGAAAAGTTGGTTTTGAATTAGGTATATGAATAGGATTCTTAACCTGAAATCCTTGGAGAGGTTCCTGAATGTTTCTGATAATTATATATACATATATATATATGTATATATATATTTACATAAACATATATATGTGTATATATATATATATATATATATATGTGTGTGTATATATATATATATATATATATATGAAATGTGCACATTAGCATTTTTCTGGGGAAAAAATAGAAAGCTTTTAGCAAATTCCCAAATTATATATGATCAAAAAAGGTTAGGAACCCTTGGGTTATTAATAATTCCAGAAGGCACTGAATGGCTTGAGGAAAAGCAACAGGGCAGCCTTGGATCTTCCTAAGCAGAACTGAGCTCATTCTTCCAACATTTATTTTATAATCCAGTCTACAGCTTCTTTATTTTTGAATCTTTTATCCTGGCTATAAATCTTAACTGTGTTTTTAGATTTTCATATACTTTGCAACTTTGGTGGTTCTATAAACTGGAGCTTGGTTAACATGAACAGAGACTTTCACACTTCAGAAGTGAGCCAATGGGAAAAGCCATTGGCCAATGCTCTAAATTATAAAACATTGCCTAGACCAGGCAGAGTCACTAACCATGACACTAGAGAGACCTAAAGTTCCATATTAGGCTCAGAGGGGTGAGTCCTGAATAATCCTAATAACAGACTATCAAAATACATAAAGCAAAACTGACAGAACTGAAGGGAGAAATAAACAGCCATATAATAATAGTTGGAGACATGAATACCCCACTTTCAATAATGGATACAACAACTAGAAGATAAATATAGGACTTAAGTAACACAATAAACCAAGTAAATCTAACACATATACAGAATCAAAAATAAAACTGGAAAGGTCACAAATTTGTAGAAATTAAACAACATACTCTTAACCAATTGATCAAAAAAGAAATCACAAGAGAAATTAGAAAACACAAACAGAACATACCAAAACTTAAGGGATACAGTGAAAGTAGTGCTCAGGGAAAAATTTATAGCTACAAATGCTTACATTAAAAAACAAGATAGATCTGGGGCGCTTGGATGGCTCAGTCAGTTAAGCATGCGACTCTTGATTTTGGCTCAGGTCATGATCTCAGTGTCGTGAGATCGAGCCCCGCAATGGGCTCTGTGCTCAGCGCAGAGTCTGCTTGAGATTCTCTCTCTCCTCCCTCTACCCCTCCCCCCGCTCAAGTGTGCCTTCTTTCTCTCTCTTTCTCTAAAATAAATAAAATTTTAAAAAAAGATCACAAATTAACCACCTAACTTTATAATTTAAGGAACTAAGAAAGAAGAAAAAACTGAAGCTGAAGCTAGCAGAAGGAAAGAATAATAATTAAAGCAGAGATAAATGAAATAAAGAATAGAAAAACAGTAGGGAAATCAATGATTCTTCAAAAGATCAACAAAATTGATAAACCTTTAGCTAGATGGACTAAGAAAAAAAGAAAAGACTGAAATTACTAATATCAGAAATGAAAGGGGAGACATTACTACTGATTCTACAGAAATAAAATATTTATAAGATAGTATTATGAACATATTGGATAACCTACATGAAATGGGACAAATTCCCAGAAATCAAGACCAAGATTAAATCATGAAGAAATTGAAAATCTTAATAGACCTATATCTAATAAAGAGATTGAGTCAGCAATCAA